TCTGGGTTTTATTTTTACAGTTGAGCGCAGACAAAGACTGGAGACTTCAGAAAGGAATATTTATGAGTCTCAAGGGGTTAAAAGTCTGCAGGAAAAACACAACTCGCATACCAAACCAATGAGACGGAGCCCCACGGTGAGTTCTGTAATCCAGAGCAGAAACCAAAAGACACCGAAAGACACAAAGTCTGCAGGAACACAAACGTCTCACAGAGGCTCAAATGTTCAAAATGAAGTGGCTGAATCTAAACTTTCAGCTGTTTTAGACACATGACACAGAAAAATACATTTCCTCATAAGGTGAATAGAAATGCTGATATTTGAATCAGACTCTCAGCTCATCATTCAAACTAAAACTACATTTTTTATTCCCAAAAAGGAGCCAGAGTTTGAATCTGAGCACAGATTTACAAGCTGAGGCGGGCAAACATTTCCAGTTCTTTCCAAGGAGAGAGAAGAAAACAACAACTATATTTCGAAACTAGTGACTGTATGTAAAAATGGATGGTTCCCACCTTGAAGTCACCATTGTTTTAAAGCTCCTGCCTGTGACCGTATTTGAGTTATCAGCTAACACGAGCTAGCCTGGTCAGTAAGCTTATAGCTAATTAACAGTAACAGCTGAAAAGTGGTCTCAGAGAGGCTGCAGCACAAACAAGCCAAATATAGAACATCATAATTTCAATAAAGATGGCGAAGACTACAAAATTATGTGAATTCAGGGTTCCCGATGGACACGTTAGCAAAGAATAAACTAGTCTGCATGTTTCACGTTGGTTTTCATTAGTTTCACAGTTTTCTTTTTAAATTATTATGATTTGAAAAACTAGGTCAGATGAGAGGTTGATGTTATTCTATGACTGGTGTAACAAAACACAGTCACTGATTCGAGTCTCAGCGTTTGCATTAACGCTGAAACATCTGACAGTGTTATTTGTGTTAATTTAAACATCAGTGTCGATTAACACACTGAGCTTTGGTTTAATTGAACTACATCACCCTCCTTAAAATTCATCTCATTGTGACGTCACCTCCATGGGTTAGGTCATTGGTGTCAAAGGTCAAACCTGCATGTCTTCATCTACAGACCTCTGTAAACAGCGCGCACACACACTGTGAGTAACAGTGCTCCTGCAGCAGACTCAGGAATGTGCTCATTTCCTCTTCGGTTTGAGTGTTTGCTCTCAGGATGCCTTTTCTTTTTTTTTCTTCTTTTTTTTAAAACACGGTGAGTTTAAAAGTCCAGCAGCAGAGGAGTGCGTGTGTGTGTGTGTGTTCTTGTATTACTACTGTTGTGGGGACACAACTCTGTCTAATCACTCACAACACAAGGACCTGTGTTTCATTAGGCACAAAGCTGGCAATAAAAATCTGAGGGCAAATATTTTACTTTAAATTTAGACTCAAAACTATCTGGAGGATATTTTTTAAAGAATGTTTAATTTAATCATGATTAAATAAATAACAATTAAATAATTATAATCTTAATTACATTTTTACATGACAACAAATTACACGGAGAAGCTAACATGAGAGCAAAAAGATGACTCGAGAAAACTGGTCAGTGTTTCTGCTCTCCATAATAAAAGCTTCCACACGGGACTCAATTCTTCCAGGTCTCTGGCTCCATCTAGTGGTCGGATTGAGGAATCACAAGGTTTAGAAAAAAATCTGGAGGTCATTATTGTTTCTGTTCAACTTTAAAAAGCAAGAATTTGCTCAAAAAAGAAGAGCAAAAATCAAAATGATGCTGAAGAGTTTTCATCATCATTCATCATTAACATCCAAAAATTAAGTCAACATAATTTTTCCTATCATATATGTGCAGGGTGGGCCATTTATATGGATACACCGTAATAACATGGGAATGGTTGGTGATATTAAAGTCCTGTTTGTGGCACATTAGTATATGTGAGGGGGCAAACTCCTCAAGATGGGTGGTGACCATGGTGGCCATTTAGAAGTCGGCCATCTTGGATACAACTTTTGTTTTTTCAATAGGAAGAGGGCCATGTGACACATCAAACTTATTGGTAATGTCACAAGAAAAACAATGGTGTGCTTGGTTTCAACGTAACTTTATTCTTTCATGAGTTATTTACAAGTTTCTCTTTGTTCACAGCCATTGACATGTCGAAGAGGTTAACACGTGAGGAGCGGATCGAAATTGTGTTGATATCTGGTGAACGCAGTAACCGGGTCATTGCAGCAGATTTCAATGCAAGACACCCTACGAGACCACCCATCTCCCATGCTACAGTTAGCAAACTGCTTGCTAAGTTTCGTGAAACTGGTTCAGTGTTGGATTTGCCAAAATGTGGACGCAAGAAAACTGTCACTAATGAAGAAACATCAGTGGCTGTCCTAGCTTCATTCAGCAAGAGCCCACAGCGTAGCACTCGCCGCATGTCACTGGAGAGTGGCATTAGTCGAACATCCCTTCGGCGGATATTAGCTACTCACAAATGGCACCCTTACAAACTCCAGCTACTGCAGCATCTCAACGAGGATGACCCAGATCGGCGCACAGAATTTGCAGAATGGGCAAAACAAAAATTGGAACAGGACCCTCAGTTCACGCAGAAGATTTTGTTCAGTGATGAGGCAAACTTTTATGTGAATGGTGAAGTTAACAAACAAAACCACCGCTATTGGTCTGACACTAACCCACATTGGATGGATCCCTCCAAGACTGTTGGAACAACAAAAGTGATGGTTTGGTGTGGTATATGGGGTACAACGATAGTGGGTCCATTCTTCATCAATGGAAACCTCAAGGCCACTGGATATTTGAAATTGCTACATGATGATGTGTTTCCCTCTTTATGCACTGAAGCTGGCACGTTCCCTGAGTTTTTCCAGCAAGATGGTGCACCACCACATTATGGGTGCCAGGTCCGAGCATTCCTAGATGAACAGTTTCCTGGAAAGTGGATTGGTCGTCGTGGGCCAGTTGAATGGCCCCCAAGGTCTCCCGATCTGACCCCCTTAGACTTTTATCTTTGGGGTCATCTGAAGGCAATTGTCTATGGTGTGAAGATACGAGATGTGCAGCACCTGAAACTACGGATACTGGATGCCTGTGCTGGCATTTCTCCTGCGGTGTTGCTATCAGTGTGTGAAGAGTGGGAGAAGAGGGTTGCATTGACAATCCAACACAATGGGCAGCACATTGAACACATTTTATAAGTGGTCAGAAACTTGTAAATAACTCATGAAAGAATAAAGTTACGTTGAAACCAAGCACACCATTGTTTTTCTTGTGACATTACCAATAAGTTTGATGTGTCACATGGCCCTCTTCCTATTGAAAAAACAAAAGTTGTATCCAAGATGGCCGACTTCTAAATGGCCACCATGGTCACCACCCATCTTGAGGAGTTTGCCCCCTCACATATACTAATGTGCCACAAACAGGACTTTAATATCACCAACCATTCCCATGTTATTACGGTGTATCCATATAAATGGCCCACCCTGTAGAATACTCAATGTATTGGGGGGGGGGGGGGGGGGGGGGGGGGGAACACGAACTAAGTGTTATTAGATATATAATATGTATAAGGATACAACAAAATTCTTACATCATTTCTATTATTATTACACCTACACTTGTGATGTTAAATAATCTGACATTAAATTTACTATTTTTAACAAAAGTTTATTTAAAAACAACCCCCCCCCCCAAACAGACAAAAAAAATGTCCAGAGTTACAGATTTAGAGACCAGTTAGCAAACATCTGTAAATGCTAACCCCTGGCTGAGTGGTTCACGCTAACAGTATACACGGGGAAAAATTTGCTTACCTGCAAATATCGTACAGCTTTTTATAATCAAGTTTACATCTGATATAAAATAAGAATAATGTCACAATCAAAAGATTATTTTAAACAGTTAATTCTTATTTTGCTTACGGAAACAAATGACTTAATATTTGTACTGCCGAGCAGGACAGGACAGGCTGTCTGTAACATTACTGCTTTTATAGAAGTTCTCTTTTGTTACTTTAGTCACATTTTGTGTTTTCATAAAAGACAATTTCCAAAATTCTTCAAATCCAACTTCCAGCGTCATTTAAGAGGAAAACTTTGTTCTAAAAATAACCCACACAACTTGTAACTCAAAGTATTTTGAAAGCTTGATTAAAAAAATAAAATAAAATTCTGATTTAATGAAAGGACTAGATGTTACAATCCCTGATACCGTGTTGCTTCAAATTGAGAAAGTCTTGAGGGATGGCTACTATGAGGGAAAGCAGCCTGGACGCTTTACCAGCAGGACACAATAATAATAATAATAATTCCAACTTCATATATTTCTACTTGTTAACATCGTCTTCTGTCATGAGTGAAACGCTGGCTGCTATGGAAGCTTACTTTTGAAACTGTTTGCAGCAGTAAAAGAACTTTTACTTTGAAGGTGAAAGGTCTCCGGTTCTGGTTTGCATTGGCTTTTGTTCGACTTTCTCCACAGCTCACCAGGTAGTGTTTTCAAAGAAGTCTCCCTGTTTCATGCAAACTACGGCCAATCTTCTAGCAACCAAAGCAATCACAAGGCTTTCGGGGCAAATACTGTGAAGCTGTGGTTATCAGATGGCAACTAACCCGTCTCTATGCCTCTGTGACCGAAACCTTAGTTTGGTGTGTTTGGTGTAAAAGGTCAACTAGCATTAGCTGATCACACAAGACTCCACCCTCTCTTCCAAATATGGTCACTTGTGGCTCCATAAAACCGACACAGCAGTGGCTGAAATGTTAACGTCCACTGTGACAAACTTTTACATACATTCTTTTTAATTTGCCTGTAAAACACTATAAAGATAGTTTATTCTGAGAAATCTACTTAACTGCCATAAAAATTCTTGTTTTCTTTTCAAATTCTAACTCAAATATTTGAATATCATCTCATACAAATTTTCGTGACATCGAGACTTTTCCATCTGAACACCGTCCTCAAGTGAAGGAACATCGTGAATACTGGGGGAAACATTACAAAGGAATTATTAACAGATTACTTTTATTATAAATATACAGTGTTAAAATGGAATGGTACCTGACACTGCTAGCTGTTTACAGAAACAAAAAGGAAGTTCTGTTTAACATAATCAATCGAGAGGGCTTAAAAACAAACTCCTGCAGTTCAAATCAAACATCTCGGGGAAGCGTTCGTTCTCTTCGGTTGACTGAGACCAAAAGTTCAACTCAGGTTGCAGAGAAAAAAAAACACACGAGATGCTTCTGCTGATCCAGGGTTCGTTTCCATGGGGAAAAACAAACAAAAACAAAACGGGACAAAAATCATGAAAACAAAAAACAAAAACGTGTCAGGTGATTTAAAAATGAGATCACAGGCAGATGTGAGTGAGACATTCGTCAGTGTGTAACATCCAAGAGTTTTTAAAGGTGCCACAAGCAGCATTTTTAACACCTGGAAACATTTAATTTCTCTGCCAGAGGACCATACAAGGGAAATCCCCTCTCTGTGATGTCATACAGAGCCAGGAGGACTTAGACCAACATTTGAAACTTTGATCTTCTCCTGGAGCAGGAGATGTGCAGCAGGAAATAAAGAAAATCACATAAGTAGAAACAACAACGTCCCAGTTTTTTAAATCTGCTGAATTCTAACTCAGTTTAAAAAATTTCTAATATTTTTTTGAAACACTTTATTCGGCCAAACATTCAATAGTTTATTCAAAAATACAGAATTGATTAAAATAGTCGTCTTTAGGAGCATCTGACATGTAGCTAATTTTTTGACACTGATATAGAAGCCAGAGGAAAGCTTTCTCTCTTTTTAACAGTCACATTGATGCAGCAACGTCAGATGTTAAAATGTGGCGTGCAGCACCTTTTAAAAAAGATTTGATCATTTTTCTTCATGAATGTCCGTCCAGCTACTCGGCGTCCTCGTTAGGTCCAGTTTGCTCCAACAGACGGAGCTGAGCGAGCGTCCTGCCTCCAACACCGCGGCTTTACCTCATTTCACCCAACAGGTCAAAGAAACGCCATCCGACTGCAGGAGCCGTTGTTCAAGTCAATGTTGTGAAGGCCAATGAGCTCATTCGCCTGCAAGTATCAACTCCAATCCAAAGTATCAGGCACTTAAATTTGAAGAACTTTACAGAAATGAGCAGTGCCGTTTGAGTCTTGATGCTGGAGTAGTGTGCAAAACACTGGATATAAGATCTGCTGAACATGCATAACAAAATGTAAACATTGGAAAATTTAAGATCAAATGGGAAAAGAAAAAAAAGACTGAAATTATACCTAAAGAAACTTTAACAAACTCAGTTTAAATAACCAGGAACAAACCTAGTCTCACACTGGTTTCACCTGATTCTCCAGCTCTAAACTAGAAGACCTCCCTTCACCTGACTTTGCCTCGTCAACAATAAATGCAGCTAAAAATAAACAGATTTAAGAGATTAAAGAGAAAACTGGTCCAGTGGAGTTATGGTTTGACTGGGAGGCGCCCAGTGAGAAGCTGAGGTGAATCAAAGTGAACGAGGTCCTACGACAGAGGAAGACGAGTTGATTCAAAGGTCAGGATGACATAATGGCGAGTGAAGCGATTTTGTGAAGAAGAAGAAAGTTTTGTGAAGTTAACTGCGCTTCAAACACCTGCTTTTTGGCAGCGAGGGTACCCTTAGTGACAAGTTCTAGCACCTCAGTATTAATCGATAAAGACGTGGATTGAAAATCATTGAAAGTTTCCGGGTTCTTCCAAGAACATCTGAACATGCAAAGACCACCCTCGCTAACATTTGATGCAAACCCAGTCATTTTTTGAAATGTGACCTCGTCTTCATCGGTTACTCCTGGGGTGCTTTTAAGGGGTCATCTGCACACATGCCACTCTACTGTAGGCTTTACTGGCTGCTGCCCCTCAGGAGGCTTACAGCAGTTGGACAATCAGAGGAAAGCAGGCTTTTCAGGAGGGTTTCCTTAAAGACACTGGAGCTAAAACAGCTTGTTTTAGACATACGATAAAGTTAAAGCCCAGTTTAATAACAATAAGGATTATTTTGAGCTATGAGTCATGCAAAGCTGCTCTGGTAGAGTTGAAGAATAAAAATAAAGAGCTGGAAATGAGCAGAATCGGTCCCCTTTGATAAAGTCCTAAGTTGTGCGTTAAAGTAAGCGGTACAGCTCGCCAAAAGCTAAAGGTGCAGGTGGAAAACTTGCACACAACCACTTCTGTCACATTTCTTGTGTAACATCGAGTGTAAAGCCTGAAAAGACACGCTGCGTCTGCAGGACGATAAAACCGAGAGTACATGCGTTTTTTGGAACCGTTTGGAGGTTTATGAACTCGTTCCCTCTGAAGCGCCTCACCTACAATAAATAAAGGTGTACTGACAGGAAGAAGCAGAGCCATTATGTACAGTAGTTACCCTGTTCTCACTGTTGTTACTGCATGAAGGGGAATATGACTTTGTATTTACCGGTATTCACCATCGTCTCCTGGTTACTGCTCATTTTCCCCACGAGTGAAGAAGAAAATCCTGAAGTCCTAAAAGTCCGACAGAGGTCACGGAAAAGTCCCGGTCGAGTACTTTGGTGCGTCTGCCCAGCTACGACCGACTGAGTGTGTACATCTCTACTCGCGTACTCATTCACAAACGATTTGCCTCACATGAAGCCAACAGTCGAATAAATCAGGAGGAAAAAGTCCTGCACGTATTTTCATAAACAAGCCACGGTTTCTTTTAATTAAAATAGACTTTCTTAAAATTCTCAGGAAAATTAGGTCGGCTACGAGGAACTTTTCCTCTCGACGCGTGATGGCGATGAAAAGAACAACAACAATAATAGCAACAATAATATGGCAACAAAACTAAGCAAACAGCACCACTTAATTTCGGTGTCGTAGTTGATTCGACTACTCGGGCAGGAAGAAAGGAAACGAGGAAAAGCGAGTGTGTACAGTAGGTGTGCAAATCTGAACCAACGTCTGTGGCAGAAAACAAACAGGAAAAGGCGACTTAAAGGGATACCTTGATGTTTGTTGGGTTTCATATATGCACTTTAAATGACAGGATGATGATGATGAAGTGATGAAGGATCCGTTTCGCAGTCTTTGGTGGAGCTTTTTCCTAAACACGACTGAATCAAACAGAAACTGAACTAACAGGTCCGACACGCATCGGAGAGCGGCGCAGAATCGTCTCGCTGCTCTCAAAACGAGATGCAATGAGGTCTGGATGGAGACGACTCGAGCGCTCGTGAAGCCGCAGGAAACCGCGACGAGGTGATCAGAAAGTCCCAGATATTGGCCCGTCAAAGGACCGGAAACCTGGTTTCACATTACAGATCCTCTTCTCTGAGAGGTCCAGAGTTGGAGCTACGGAGTCGCACTCTGACCATCACGGATGGCGAGCGTTCGCTCTACGAACCAGACGAAGACTCCAGACTTCCTGACAGGCTCAGCAGGTGAAGTCCGTCATGTTCTCCACATTCATCAAGTTGTAAACCGTGAATTTATCCCTCACCTGCACCAGGTGATTCCTAATCTTTGCTCACCTCCTGAACCCCTCCCTCAGATCCCTCCGTCTGAGTTTGTGCACTTTGAGAAATTAAAAAGAAGCTGAAAAATCAACGCTGGAGGTCAGCCGGTGCCTGCCTCCCGAGCAGCTGTGCTGGAACTTTCTGATCTCACGCTGCCCTAAACACCCCTATATACGGATCAATCCGCCACTAAAAGTAGTTCCTAACAGTTGGTAGGAGTTGGGGAGAAGACGTGTTTTAACAGTTTAACTCCACATGCTTGGCATCCATCTATGTGCATTTATGGACTGGCCTCCTACCCTAATGCATGCTGGGATACTCCCCTTGAACATATGAAGCAGGCGAGAAACTATAAAAGAACCTGAGGTAGTCTGAATGCTTGGGCTACGAGTTTGGTACGAGCTCTAATGTGAAGGCTGGTAGTGATGAGGGCGCCATCGTAGCTGCTGAGGGTTTTATAAGGAAACCAATGAGGTGGAGGGTCCGCGCAGTCGTTACGAGCTTAACGAACTCTGAGAAACACTGAAACGCCAATTTTTCTCAGGCCTGGAAGCAGCTCTACAAGAGAGCTGAGGGACGCAGGTCCAACATCAAGGTATCTCTTTAAGAGAATGTGTTTGAAGCCGGCGACGAAGCAGCTCGCAGGCCGATTTAAGGCACGTGTGTGAGAAAGTTTACATCATTAGAGCTAACGAACAGGACTATAAACGCTTCACTTAACGAGCTATAACGTGAAGACTGAGAGGAGCTGCTTCTTTTTTCTTTTGCTCACGTAACATCTAAACACCTTATCAGAAAATAACTCTGTCTCTACAGACGTAGAGTACAATTTAAAAGCTACAAACTACAGTACACTCTTAATGCTAGTTAATGAAGTCCCGATGCATAGCATCACCCATAGATGGACACTGATTCTGACTTTGTGGATCTCTGACGGCGGAGTCAATCGTAGTGTTATGGAGGTTATGGCAGTGTGTGTCCGAGTCCGTGTCTCGTCTCCGGTGAGATGCGTGATTGTCATGAGCCGTCGTTCCTCCAAAGAGTTCGTCCGACGACGTGAGTGGAAAAAAAACTAAAACGCGAAGAGGAAGAGTTGGTGAAGATGGAGAAACGAAAGCTCCGCGCTCCCGTGGGTTCAGGCGCTGACGTGATAGGGCATCTTCCAACAAATCAGAGCGGCGGGGGTTAAAAACACTGCGTGTCAGCATTGGCGGCGCCGCGGCTGGAGCAGTCTCCGCAGTCTCTCCCTTCCATCGCCATCTTTTCTACTGCCACCTCCTCCTCATCCTCCTTCTTCACATCTTTTAGCGGATCCTCTCCGCTCTCGACTTTAGGGACGAACTTCCCGAACCGCACGCCATTCAGATCCTCCTCCAGTTTGACTTTGAAGGGCGGCAGGCCGAGCAGGAAGGCCCGGATCCTGCTGGGCGAGCTCAGATCTGCGGGTTCATCCTGGTTTTTCATCTCCACCTCGACCTGCCCTCCTCCTCCCACCACCGCCGCTCCTCCTGCTGCACTTCCTGCGGAGCTGGAGCGCGTTTCCTCAGCTGGCTCTGTGAAGCCAGTCCTCACTCTCTTGGCCGGCAGCTGGTCGGCGTTCCCATTGACGACGGCCCGGCTCGGCTCCGGCCCTTCCGCGGCGGGTCTCTTCGGCGTGAACCGTTTGCTGAGGTTGAGGGGCAGCGCCTGCTCGGGGGGAGGGGTGGGCTTGGCGTTCAGGTCCTGGGAGAGAGCCTCGGACAGGCACCGCGTGAACATCTGCAGCTGGGACGGGCCCAAGCAACGAGTCCTCATCAGCTGACACACCTGAACGCTGCAGTCAAGGTTCACGGGAAGGACTCGGAGGGGGGGCATGGGGGGCCGGGTTCTAGCCTCTCGCCCGCCTCCTCTCGGCCCCCCCTCGTCCATGTTACACCCTGAGCAATGGGTGTGGTGCTGCTGGAGGGGGTGGGGCTGTGGCTGCTCCCCACTCGGGTGAGGGGTGTCTGGGCTCCCACTCTTCGGCTGTGGGGTGTAGATGATTGGATGGTGCTGGCTCGGGTCCTGGGGCGTCAGGGCAGGGCTCTCGGGGCCCCTCTGCAGGCCCAGCCGGCTCCTGAACACGTCCGAAGGACACAAGCCTTTGATGGGGCTGAAGCCGCTCAGAGAGCCTCTGATGAAGTGGCGCGGCAGCGCGGAGAGGAGCACGCCCGTGGCGGGAACCACAGACTCCCCTCGCTCCGTCTTCACCTCCTTCGGTTTGGGCTGGAAAGAGATAAAGGGGCCGGCGAGGGGGGCGAGGTCCGGGGTGAGGGGCATGGTGATGGGCAGGATGGCCGGCTGCAGGGAGCAGAGAAGGAAATGAATCACATGCAGTCAAATCAAACCTCCTCACAGGCCTGTACGAGTGTTTCGTGGTCGTTACCCTGTGCATGCCGCTGGCGGCAGTTCCTCCGCGGCCCACGGCTGGAAGCTGTTGCTGCGTCATCTCCACCGCGCTGCCTTTGACCTTCGCCTGCTGCAGTGCCAGCAGCTTTGCCTGAGCGAGCACCGTGGCCTTGTTTCGCGTGCCCGGCGGCCGGCCTCTACCTCTCTTTGCCAACATGGTGCCGTTCGGGTTTGGGACCTGTTCAGAGGCAAGAGAGGCTGGAGGTGAGCCAACTAAGCCAATTAAAGCAGTGACGATTGCAGGGTTACTGAAGTGGTGGTGGCTAGCAACACAGCTACGTTAGCATAACATAAACACAGTGAAGCTGGAGGATGAACGCTAACTTTTTCCACCTGATAAAAGTTAATGTGAGGGTTCCTGATGTTAGAGACAAATGCAGTCGCATGGCAGGATGCTGTAAATGGACCAAACTTCAGTCAGGAGAACAACTGAGATCATACATCCACAGGTGAGTCATTAATATACTGCAACAACATGGGAACAGAGCAGCTGCCAGAGAGTTCAGCATTAATGAATCAATGGTACAGAAGTGGAGGAAGCGCAGTTTTTGGCTTCCCCCATATTCCAAAAGTGCTTCATCTCTTTGCTATGACTGCCGCCCGCCATAATTTGCAGATGATGTTGTTTGCAGCTGCTGCCATGCTTTCGACCAACACAGGGGCAGCTTGATGACACCATCAACATGCGCTATCGCGGTAGAGCGGTATAAATTTCTACCGTTTCTACCGCCCACCCCGAGGCGGCAGTGTCAGCATCCCCCCATCACAGCATCACCCGAGCATCTGTTACGGAGCATCAGCGTTCAGCAGTGTTAGTAACAGATGAAAACAAAGCCGTAAGCTCACGTCATCATGCATGGTGGGAGAAGCAGCAGCAGGTGGTGTGGCCACCTTCCTCTCCCGGGGTCTGGGTCCCGGCTTTTTGCCTCTGGGATGTGGTCTCCTGCCTCTGATGCCTCTGGGCTTCGGCACCACCGGGGATTCTGGGACTTTAAACTCTGCTCCGCCCGCTCTGAGGTGTTCTTCATATGGAAGCATCAGCCTGAGACACAGAAACCTGAACTTTAGCATGTGGACCCTTTTAGTCACAGGTCAAAGGTCAAGGGTTTAGTTTTCAGTATTTCCATTACATCTGTCAGGATATTACGGAGCCAGAATAATAATGTGCACAGTAATGCCTGTGCACATGGTCTACTCAGGTACAGGGAGCTTTCCTGCTCTCTAACACTAATGACCGCTTCATCCAGCGCTGACCTCTGCTGGATGAAGGTACGAAGCCCACTGGCTGGTTTTCCTCTCTGCTTACAGACTCTCGTCACCTCCCTTTGCTCACTTTTGAGTGTAAAACGGTCTGAAACGCTCGGTGAGCGCAGTCAGAGATGATGTCTGACTCACCTCTCGTAGTGTCTCCTGGTGCAGGTCGCAGCGCTGGTGCTGCCGGGGCATCCGCCCAGCTCGTTGTAAACCACTTTCCACAGACGGTCTGTCGTCACCTGCCGCACGAAAACAAGCAGAAAGTCAGATAACGAGGAGTAACCCTCAAAGGACTGTGGTGACCGGTACATGATAGTTCAACTGGAGACTCCCAGGTATTCAGCCTGCAGTGGAGACCATGCACCAACTCTAAGGCCTTCACCCCACTGCAGGCTGAATACCTGTGAGTCTCCGTCAGCTGCCTTTTGATCCTGGAAGAGGTCGAACCGCCTCCGACTCCTCAGAGTCGAAGTATCAGAGTCGACTTTGAGAGGAAAACTTGACCTAAATCCTGGTTTACATCAGTTTTAGTGCCCCCTACTGTTTAGACACGTGTAACTACATCCTCAACCATTTGGAAAGGGTGACGACTGATTTATACTTTTAATTTTGTTGGCAGTGGTTTCATCTACAAAGACTCTTCTGTGGAACCAGCTTCCAGTTAGGATTCAGGAGACAGACACTATCTCTACTTTCAAGATCAGGCTTCAAACTTTCCTTTTTGCTAAAGCATATAGTTAGGGCTGGACCAGGTGACCCTGAATCCACCCTTAGTGATGCTGCAGTAGATGTAGACTGCTGGGGGATTCCCATGATGCACTGGGTGTTTCTTCTGCGGTCACTGTGTGTTTATACACCTCTCTGCATGTAATCATTGTTATTATTAACCTCTGGCTCTCTTCCACAGACATGCAGCCCCATAACGTGTTAATTATAAAAATCAATGCAAAAATGTTTTAAAACACTTTTTTGGTGATAATTTTAGACGAATAAAAACTGATGTGACTTCAAATCCAAATATCTGCAGAGATGATCTGATCCTGATCTTCAGCTCTGGCACTTGTTAGCGTGAGCTTCAGACGCTTCATTAATCTCCACGTTTGTATTAAAAACAGCAGTGTGACAAAAAGCTGACGTCTCTGCGATCAATGGAGACGAGGCCAAACAGACGCTCTGCAAACGTGGACAAAGTCAAACTCTGCAGTGGATCAGTTTTTATTTTTGAGCCGTCTCCATCGTCTGTGTGTTAATCCTGATGTAGACCATCAGACGTGCAGCAACACTGTGAGACAAATTAAAACTCATCTGTGCAAATGAATATTTAATTATATTTACAATAAAAACTCCAGTCTGGCAGTTACTGCATGTTTCAACTCTTCAGGTTTAAATGTGGACCGATAACGTTTTAGTTTGGCTGCAAACACGTTCAGTGTCGCCGGTTTCAGTTTCACTTTATCGAGGGAGCGGCCGCAGAAACTGAACCAAAGGTCGGATCATGTCTGATCAATTTACACCGTCAGCACATCCACCCCACAGGGGAATTTAAAGCAGTCGGACAGGAAAGACCGCTCGGCCTCGACTCCCAGGGCGCCTCATCTAAATAAGCTATAAAACAAAACCTGATGAAACGCCTCGAGCGAGCGGCCTGCTGTCAGCAGACTAAAATCAGTGTTTGCAGTTTTCTCAGCAGGGACGGAAACAGAGCTAACGAGCACAAAAACTTCATGATTTCACTTTAAAATAAATCCCTGCAGGCTGATTTATAATCTGTCCTCATCCTCCTGGATTAAACCAAACACACAGTCGCACTCAGATGTGCCGTCCTCGCAGGTTCGATTTAACCTCACGTGAAACAAACTGAGCTGAAACACGTTCAAACTCTTTATTTAAACCTTCGTCTCTCACAGAAAACCTGAAAAGTATCATAAACGAGTTTTTAATAACAGAGTCGTGCAGCTTCCCGTCTTTATGCAGCAAATCAGCAGCTCTTACTATTTTAGAGAAACTGAAATAAACTGAAGAGACTTACCTTTTTGTAGCCCCCGAGCCGTTTGACCACAGAGTACATGAGGAAGAGGTCGACTGAGGACGGCGGCGAAACATCAGACATGCAAAGGAGACACAAAAACATTTAAAGCAGGCGGTGAGGACACAGCGGAGGCAGGATGGTCCTCACTACACGAACGTGGTTTCAAACCCCCCACAGATCAAACATGGAGTCTCGATGAAGCTCAGCAGTCACATGTTTACCTCTGACACGGCACCCAACCTTCATTCAACACCACAAAACTTTATTTAACACGCAGTCAGAGCACGTCTGTCTCTGGAAGGAAGGAAGGAAGGAAGGATGGATGTAAGGAAAGAGTGAAAGAAAAAGGAGATGAGAGAGAGACAGGGAGGAAGGAAGGAAGGAAGGAAGGAAGGAAGGAAGGAAGGAAGGAAGGAAGAAAGAAAGGAAGGAACGAAGGAAGGAAGGAAGAAAGGATGGATGTAAGGAAAGAGTGAAAGAAAATGGGGATGAGAGAGAGACAGGGAGGAAGGAAGGAAGGAAGGAAGGAAGAGGGGAAACAGAAGGAAGGAAGGAAGGCAGGATGGAAGGAAGAGGGGATAACAGAAGGAAGGAAGGAAGGCAAGGATGGATGAAGGAAGGAAGGAAAGAGTGAAAGGTCATGAAGGAGGGATGAAGGAAAGGAAAGAAAGAAAAGGAACGTTCTGTAGAGCGCAGAAGAAGAAGCGGCGGCGTGGAGGACTCACTCTTCTTGAAGCCCAGGTTCGGGACTTTGTGGATCGGCGATCCGTGGCGGTCCATGAAGGCGAACAGCTGATCGAGGAACAGCTGCTCCTCGGGGTGAGGGAGCCAGCCGCCGTCACAGCCAACCTCCACGCTGCCCATCACGTTCTCCTGAGGGGGAAACACGCAGTGAGATCATCATTGCACGCCTCAGCACTTCCTGTTATTTTACTCATCACATTAAAACTGATCTGCGCCTTTATTTTGGCGGTCAGAAACTGAATCTATTAAACGACTTTATTTGCTGCGAGGCTCACATGTTCACGTCTGCAGCACGTCGGCCACTAGAGGGCGCTGTGAGAGGCCTCGCAGGTCAAACCTCGGAGCAGTTTAAGGATTATAATCCAGCAGCGCTCAGAGACTCGAGCGTGTTTGTTGCTTCGTGGATCCAAAGCCAGCAGCTCTAAAATCCACTTCCCTATGTGAGGCTCGTGCTCTGGCTTTCTTAAATGAACAGCAAACCTGCCTCTGCGTGGGGGCACGAATGCATTCAAAGCACTGACAAAGCGACTGGGTGCACATGTGCGCTGAAACAAAGCAGCTGAAACTGCACGCCCAGACCTGCCTCACAGCAGAGCTCCGAGCATCTAATAACAGAGACCAGGTTCATGTTTTTACTCCAGTCTCACAGCTCTGCGGGACCAGATCTACTTCCTGAAAGGATTTGATTTCACTTTCAGCAGAGTTTGTATTATAGCAGGATCTGGAGCCTGAAGCAGAGCTTTCTGTAAACACGCCGTAACGACGAAGAGGAGCCTGAACGTGACAGTCAGCGATGAGATGATCGCCACACGCACCTTCATCCTCTCGATCCACGACTCCGACTGGCTGGAGTTTGGCGAGTCTTTGCTGTCGCGGCCTCTCCTCTTACGAGGTCGTCCTCGCAGACTGAGAGAAGGACATCCTGCAGGAAAAATAAAATAAAGGCGTAAACATTTACAACATCTCCGGAGGCCTTCCTGTGTTTGTTTGAGGCGATCTTTGTGAGGCATTTACAAACTAAAAATCAGAGAACTAAATAACAGCACATGGCTCAGGTGCAGCGCTCTGCTGTGGGCGGTGGTCTAAAGGGGTCACATGACGGAGGTTATCCGGTCTAAAACGGACACGGGATTTATTCATTTAGCTCCGAGCGCAGGGCGACAGCAGATGATCTGATTTACAAAAGTCGAGCAGACTGTACAAACATGTCAGACACACGAGGAGGCTGGTTTTATCTTCCGATGAGCACTCGAGCTGCTTCTTCACCACAGCAGGTCATCTGCCTCCACCTCACCCCGTCCTCCTCCGTCACACCACCCTCTGCATGTCCTCCTTCTCCGAGGTCGTCTCCTCTCCTCCTCAGTGGATAATCTAACAGGTTGATTTGAAGCCTGATCTGCTCAGTAAGCGTGTTGTTCTTCTTCTAAAGCACTGATGTGGACAAGTTTATCCAACCTTCAAATAACCTGAAAACATCTCACTACAGGCTTTTATACACCAGCCTGCAGACACCAGAGAAACAGCTCAGGACTCTCCAGCAGGTGGCAGCGTTTCACAGGCAAACAGGAAGCTGTACTGAGGAAGGAAGTGATGCTTTCAGGTCAAAGGGCTTTCAAAAACCAGTTATATGTTTCATCTTACACACAAACGTCACCTTTCAGCAGCAGAAAACATTTATGGGCTCAAATTGTGGTCATAAATATTTTGCACTTGTAAATCAGGATTTGTTTGTGGACCAAAAAATACGTGTGAAACTCTGCACTCAAGTTTCAAGTTACAAGTACGAATTTTGACCCTATTTTTCTTCCTTTCATCTGATTGGTCAATGTCATGTCAATCACAAATTTAACTGTCCAATCAGAGAACAGATGGGTTTGGCTGTTTGAGGGGCAGTTTTTTGAACTGCAGGTCCTTGAAGGGTGATACAGGTTGAAGCTGGAGGATCTCTATATAAATATCCGATAGCAGCTAGGTCCCCTAACTTTCAGCAGCTGTTGAAAGGATAAAGTTTTAGTATATCAGTGGTTAGAAATACCATTATTACTTTAGGATTAGTTTAACACAAAGTCAGGGCTGACCCGGGACCATGGCTGTGAGTCACAGTGCGCAGCATAAAGGTCCTTTCACATCGGATGCAGGATGTGCTGCTAATGCTAACTGCTAACTAAAAGCAAAGGATCCAGGATTTGTTGCTGGCTGCTGGGCTCTGTGTGCAGCAGCTCTACCTGCACTAGATGCACCTGCTCCTTGTCGTTTCTATCTCTGACTTTGTGTCCTCTACAAGAGTTTCAGTTTTTTTAATCTTCAAATGTTCAATAAAAACATGTATCGCTAATTCATAATGAAGAAAGCTTTGTAACTATCCCCACTAGTGAAGACTGTCTCTGGAGGTCCCAGAGCAGGTAAACCTGTGACACAAAAATCACCAAACTGAGACGACCACAGCCTGTTTGCCTTCGTGGTGATGAAGGAAAATGCTGGGCTGGCATGTAAAAGGGCATTTATTCCCTCAGGACCTGAAGCTCCATAAAGCATCCATCTGTTCTCTGATTGGATTGTCAAATTTGTGATTGACATGACATTGGCCAATCAGATGAAAGGGAAAAAAATAGGGTCAAAATTCGTACTTGAAACCTGAGTGCAGAGTTTGATACGTAATGTTTTGGTCCACACACAAATCCTGATTTAAAGTACAAAATATTTATGACCACAATTCGAGCCCGTAAAGATTAAACAGTAATTCAGAACGTGATGTTTAGACCGTATGTTTCTTATTCTAATGATTTAAATCCATCACACACAAACGCTGTCAGCACACTCACTGAACTGCCAGGAGAAGCCGGAGCTGCTCTCCAGCGTCGGGTGGTTGAAGGTGTCCCTGCAATACATGACTCGGGTGTTGGGCGTCACCTTGATGCCTCCCAGCGCCAGCAGGTGGGGGTCCTGCAGGGCAGACCCCCTTGCTCCGTCCTGGATGCGCCGCTGCAGCGAGCGGAAGCGGCAGTACTGGGGGTAGCTGATGACTTTGACAGCGTGATGCTCCGCCGGGCCGTCTGAGGGGAGGAGACACAGGTGGGGTTATTTTTGTTTCGGTGGCTTTAACTCGTTCGCTCCGTTATGCTCTGCAAACACAGCGTTTCCCACTTTCCGTCAGGCCCCGGATTTGTCTCCGGGCTCTGAACATCTCTGTATACACGACAAACACGAGTATCCCGGTTACTGATTACCGCTGTGCAGGCGCCGGGGGTGTTTGCAAACACCAGGCGGCACTTTTGAGATGTTTAATTTGACGTTTCTGTAGCCGTCACCCTCAAATACATCCGATTTGTTTGGGAAACCACTGAAATTACAAAGAAGGCTAAACTGTGCTGAGGGAGTCGGCAGCATTCATAAACATGCAAACAGCGTCCTGCTTCCTTTCTCAGGACTCTGGATTAAAAACCTCCTTTTCAGTGACCTGACCAGCAGCGCAGCCGACACAGAACAGAAAAACAATAAAAGATAAAGAAGGAGCCTCGCTCCATATAAACCAGCTCGCTCTGCAAAACCCTTTAACCCACTCTGACACGCCGATTATGGTTTTATTAAACATGTATGCACAGAGATAAACAAGATCCCACCCAGGCTGACACTCATGGTTAAAATCCCATCAGTGGGAAACGTGCACTCCCTTTCCACAGCACAGGTACTAAACTTGTTAAGAGTTTCCTCACCTGGAGACAGAATCGAGATTTATGTTTTGCGTTTTTTTGGGCTCCATAAAAGTACCGACGTCACCAACGTTTCCCTGCTACAGGCTGAGACGCCTGTAATCCCGCTACAAGTCTCGTTCTTCAGTTTAGAATATATGAGCATGTGTGTGTGACCTCCCTCAATCCTTTTTTTCTTAAACAGTAATCTGTTACTTTTTCATTTCAGAGCAAATATTCATTTTATTTTAACCACAAAACTTTCAAGTGTAAGTTTAAAGAAATAAGCTGACGATTTCTTCACCCGAACCGCCGGAGTTCAAATACCAGAGCACATTTATGCCACAGTGGATATTAGTGCGTGCCATCGTGATGCCGTCGCCATCGTGATGCCGTCGCCATCATGTTCAGGCATTAAGTCCGGGTCCAACCACAGCACCCATAGAAGTATTTAATCAATATTTACCTAAGAACATCTTTGATAAGCAAAAGATGTGTCTGCATAAAAACTGGTCACAACATCCATCCATCCATTCGCTACCGCTTTTCCTTTTCAGGGTCGCGGGGGGCGCTGGAGCCAATCCCAGCTGTCGTAGGGCGAGAGGCGGGGTACACCCTGGACAGGTCGCCAGTCTGTCACAGGGCCAACACACAAGGACAGACAACCATTCACACTCACATTCACACCTAGTGACAATTTGGATTTTCCAATTAACCTATCCCCACAAGCTGCATGGTCACAACATATTCAGTTAAATTTTATAGCATAAAATCACAATAACAGCTGCCTCAAGGTGCTTTATACTGTGAGGTAAAGACCCTAAAATACTACAAAACCAATCAGAACAAACTCTTGGCGACAGTGGGAAGGAAAAACTCCTTTTAACAGGAAGAAACCTCCATCATAACCAGGCATTGACAGCCATCTGTATAACATCACACAGATGATCTTTATAATGATAAAATTACTCGTGTTCACAGAAAACGGCAGCAGTCCAAGTGTGGAGCCATGAGGAACTCCTACTGATACAGGAAGTAAAGCACTGAACATCCTGTTCGCTCTGCTCAGCAAGCTGGAAAGTGAAATTTGATCAAATTCAGAATAAGGACTGAAAGGTTTCTAAAATCAGGAAAACATGTCTATATGTACAAAAACACAAATACAATGATCTCTGGGTGGGTGGCCAGTTCTTTATGAGGAAGTGCAGTGGTCCCACTGTGAAGCCCTGAGGAACTCCTCTGGATACAGGAAATACACAGGAAGAAGATCCAGAATAGAGACCCAAGAGTTTTCAAAACACATGCAGGCTTTATGAAATCAGGATAAAATGTTTAGATCATTTAGGGCTAATTTACAGTTTTATGCCTTCTCTCTGTGCACGTCTTTACTTCTTTTATAGTGGTGGGTAGGAAATGACCACAGCACTGAATCCATCAGATGATTTCAATGATTCTGTTCTTTTAATGCTGCTTTAGCTGCCTCACTGCTGACCTTTCAAAATAAAAGTAGCTCTAACAGGGAGGCTGGAACATGTACAGGAGTGTGACCGGCAGCATTTCCACACCAACAAACTGGCTCTGGTTCACATCTGCAAACATCTGCAGAGAGTTTCTTACTCTCAGTTTTGTCTTTGAGCGGCTCGCTGCTTTTGTCCGTCGTGCCGTTGCTGCCGTCGCCGCTCTGCGGAGGTTTGTGGAGGCCGTTGGTCCCGCACGCCAGCGCCTTCAGGCTGCTGCTCCAACCTGCCGGCTGCGCACACGACCATCGCACCAGGTCCTCCACCCGCACCACCATCTTCCTGGACACCGCCAGAACTTCATCCTGATCAGACACAAACAGAAGATTCAGCGCTGAAGTTATCATCTGCTTCCAACCATTTAACGCCCGACAGGCTGACACCGAGTCGCTGTACTCTGAAGGCGCCAAACTTGGATTGAGCATCACTTTAAAATCAGAATGTGAGCGTGAGAAAAACAAACCCCATCAGTTTGATTAAAGTGCTGCTTTAAACATCTGCAGCACCTGTCAAACTATCACCTGCCTATTTGTGTTCAAACATGGAGGCAAACAGAGAGCTAACGTGTGCAAATAGAAGGAAAGGCCTCGACTGGTTTGTCGCTGGAGTCTTGACTTTTACGTGAGGAGAGCGAGGGAGATAAGACGGCTTAAAGATTTAGAGCAGAGAGTTTCTAATAAATGAACCAGTTTGAACTAAAAAGGAGAAACCCTTCAAAAAGATGATTGGATGTTTAAAAAGGTGTTTGAGGCGCCGCTTTAACACCGACTGATGCTCGAGGGTCGGCCCTTCACCAAGCTTCATGAGATTTCTGATACCAACTCGTGACGGGCAGCACCGCCTTTCCATCCAGCTGAGATCCACTTTTCCGTCTCGTGTTTGTTAGCGCCCGTCTCCATTAAAGCGTCTTTGATAGTTTGACTCTGCTGAAGTTGTAACCACAGGCCCTCTGGCTCTGCCACAGGTCAGCTTTTCATGTTTGTCTTGACATTTAGAGTTGCTGCTCAGACACACGTGATGATGTGTAAGTCAAAGTGACGCAACACCTGAAAACGAAAGAGGAAGTTTACTACGGCAGGCAGAAGTCCGTGCAGGACTCGCATGTTTTCATGTTTTGGTGAATAACACACTGCTGGAGCTGCGTTTAAAGCTTTTCACTGAGTTTGTTTAATGTAAAGAGAACAGTTACACTTTAGTTGGCATCACGTCGCCTTTGACAACACGGCCACTGATCAGAAACATCCAGTGTGTCCCGTTTGATAAAAAGCCGAGTTTCACATATCTTTGTGGGCCAATTATTCACCATCACACATAAAAATGCAAACGTTAAGCTTTAATTAAACATTCACAGTTGGCGTTAGACAAAGATTCAGCGCGGTGTGGTTGATACGAAGGCGCAGAATCGGGTTTTCGTAGCTGTTAACGTGTTTATTTCTGCTGAAAATTTGGACATTTTAAAGTTTGAGCCTGTGAGGACGGACTCGCCGCAGGAGCCTCGAGTGGACATTAGAGGAACTACAGGTTATTTGTTTTTCCCTCAGGTAAATGGAGAGGGCTGCTTTAAGGACAGTGTTGGGGAGTAACGGAATACATGTGCCGCCGTTACGTATTTAAAATACAAAATATGAGTAACTGTATTCCGTTACAGTTACCGTTTAAAAAGGTGGTATTCAGAATACAGTTACTTTGTTGAAATAAATGGATTACACTGCGGTACTTTCCTGTTTCATTTTGTCGCGGGTCAGGACTGTTTGGGTTTTGTTTGACAGCTACGTTCTGTTGTTCCAGGCGGCAGCGTTACGGTTGCCATGGTTACAGGGCGACGCTCTCTCTCTCTCTGCGACTGTGTGTTTCCTGGGTGAGAGAGCGCCTTTTCGTTGTTGTTGTTGTTGTGCTAAGCTAACAGGCAGAATGCTACAAGCATAGCTCTAAAGAATGTAGCATCATGCAGTGTAGTCCTGCTGCTGGGAGAATGGACTGCCATACACGTTATGTGTCTGTGAGCGCAGGAGGGAGAAAAAGGGGAGTGGAAAGGTACGAGCAGTCATCGAGCAAAAACGGGAGCTGGAAGCATGTAAATATAATAATAACCACTGCAGCCAAGAAGAGTGCCTGACGAGCCCAGTTGTAAGTAAGCTATTAAGACTCGACTGTACACCGTGTTCGTGTTTTCCTCCGAAAACAATAAGTTCCGTTGGAGCAGCCTTTCAACGCCTCTCTCTGTCTCTCGCAAGAAAAATTGACCCACACAACAAAGTAAAGCTATTTTTCGGCTACGAGCCGACAGGGACCCCGCCGTATTAGTCAGAGGTCCCTTTACTACAGTTCGGAGTCGCGGACCTTCAGTAATAGTAATAAATCACACAGCAATAGTACATTCACGTTGTTGTAAAAAGCATGATAATATATTAAGTAATCCAAAGTATTCAGAATACGTTACTGTCATTGAGTAACGTAACGGAATACGTTACAGAATACATTTTGGGGCATGTATTCTGTATTCTGTAATGGAATACATTTTAAAAGTAACCTTTCCAACACTGTTTAAGGATGGGTGTACAACCTTTACGAGGTATGTTAGCAGGCAGAGACTCCATGATGTCGTGATGATGCAGAGGGCTGGGGTGATAGAGGAGGTGGCGGGGTAGCGTGAGATGACTCCGTTGGTGGCTTTGCACGTCAGCGGTGACGTTGCCACAGCTTTGTACCACTTCGGTATTCTCCTGAACGACAGGTGTCGCCACTCAGACAAAATCTCATCTTTTCAAACTGCAACGTCTCCCCTGAATAATCTGTTAATCTCAGAGCTGCCAGACTGAGAAACCATTAAAATGGTGTTAGAAGCCGATATGATGACCCCACAGCGGCGGCATCCACCAGTGGATGTGAATCTACTCCAGTTAAAGCCGGCTGGGTCTAACTGGTCCGGTACTATCTGTACAAAAACACAGCTAAAAGCTGCTTTGTCTGTGAAAGAGAGCTTCCACTATTTCCATTAAACAGACTCTTTGCATATAATCTTAAACTTGGTTAGAAAGCAACCAGACCTGACCTCATATCGTGTCCTCCTCTGCTCTCATTTGGTTTTTGCCCATCTTTTCATGTCCCTTCAATACGTTGAACTTCCTGTACAAACTGTCTGTTTAATGATTCCTGTTTTATTAGTTTTACTTTGTTACATTTTTTATATTTTTTCTCTGTTTTTGATTTTCAAAAAGGCTTTAAGGGGAATTAATTAGTAATTAAATCCTCCAGGATTAACAGACGATATCAGAAGAATAAGAAAAGTCACCCATGTGCTGCTCTGAGGAGATACCAGCTGAAGCCGAACTGGAGCTGGGCTGTACTGTCAGGCAATACCAGTGTGGACCACAGGGTGGCGTTGTGGTGAGTGTAAGCTTTTTAAGGTTGTATTTTGAATTAATTTAAAAACGTTTAAACACACTGATAAAAACGCTGCTGGCTCACAGGCCTTTCAAAATAAAACCGAGGGATGAGCTGTGAAGGAGTCAATTTCACCGTCAAAGCTTCCCTAAACCTAACCAAGCTAACCTACATGTGAAAAAGAGATAAAATGGGTCAAATAATAAAAAACGAGCAGGGAAAAAAAGTGTAAACATCTGCAGCAGGATCAGAAATAAGCAGCCATCAGGTCACAACACGGGCGGTGCAAAGACCGCAATGAGATCAGCTACTGCAGCGAATTAAAGCCAACACTCGCCGGGTCCCTCTGGGTTTGAATGAGACACAGAAGCTTAATTAAAAGCAGGCCCGCGATGTTATTTTAACCTCAAATCAGACATTAAACAAACAGCACGTTTCTGCTGATCTGGCTCTCAGATGCGCTGCACTTTATGCAAATGAGGCCAACTGCAGCTCATTTACATATGAAGTCACTGAAGTTTCACTGAATCAAAGAAGCCCACAAACATCTGAGTCACCGATCGTCCGGTCTGCAGCCGAGGTGCAGCCGCAGAGGCCTCCTCCCATCCCAGCTCGTCAGCTGTGATCTTGTTGCGTCCTTCAGGCAGAGACAAAAGAGCCCAACCCGCCTCTAAAAAACTCCAGCACCCCTCTCCCCGCCCCCTGGGCTGCAGCCAGGTGAGAGCTCATTAACACCGCAAAGGAGGAGCTCTGCAGGAGTCATGAATAAACAAAACGCTCGACTGAAAGACACACCGAGCTTCCACATCTGAAATCACTCGTCCTGCGAGAGGAGACGAGAGACTGAGGCAGGAATTTATTTTTCATAGTGTAAGAGCCGTGTTACACTTCCTGTTTCCTTATCTAACTCACAACACGTCCTGTCCTGCACCTCAGCTGGTTCAACGAGAACTCGCTCAGCGGATAAAAGCCGCTCTGCTAACGTCAGCTAACCGGCTGCATAGATGATGAACACATGAAGCAGCATGCAAGCGTCACTCCGGCACTTCTGCGTCCAACACCACCAACGAGTCCTGAAGACTCACTGAGACACAAAGCTTCAATGCCCGGCTCCAAACGCTCCTCAGGTCCCAAAATCAGAAACTCGAGGAACCGCCGAGACTCCAATAAAACCATCATCATCTTCTCAGTCACGCAGCCTGGAGACTGGTCAGGACAGGGCTGGGTGTCGGTTTTGATCTCTGTAGTTGATCTGATTCGATTCTGACTCTGACAACTTCCAGAATATTATAATTCTGATCATTTATCAGCACGTATGCATATTTTATATCTATGTATAGAAACAAAGCTGACACTTATCAGAGGTGTGAGCATCACACAGATGACTTCGGGTCAAAGTAACTGAGGATAAAACAAGAAAGACACGAAGGAGATAACCTCAGAAAAATAAATGAATAATAAATAAAAAAATATTCTACAGTAGAAGAAAACAAATCATCATATAAACATTACCTGATGCTGCTGAAGTGGAGCCGAGCAAAGTTTGATTTGAGTTCTGCAATTTGGCATCATTTTAAAAAGTTCCATTTCTTTGGTACTGAACAGCAGAAACGAGGCTTTTTCTTCTCAGAGGTCATTAAAAAACAAAACAAACCACAGCAGCCAACAGCACTGTTCACAACGGAGACATAATAAGCAAGCAAATAATGCAGAAAACAGATTTGTATGGTAAACTGGTCCCCGAGTACAGAGAGAGAGCTGTGCAGGAAGTGCGATTTTATCGTGGTGGAAGCAAAACTGTAAACGTGAAGCGTAGTTTTCATCTTTTGCTGCTTGTTCAGTGATTTTGGTTGGAGAGAGAGGAAACCTGCAGCATCAGAATCAGCGAGCTGTCGGCTTTCAGCCCTGACGGCGTGTCCGTGCCGTCGGGCGAGAAAGCCGACGTCTCGCTGATTCTGATGCTCGTTTGTGTTCACGTCTTTGTGCTGAATCCGTGTACCTGCTCTCATTTACTGTTTTCGTTTTGTGAACTTTAACCTGAGATTCTGGCGTTTCTGGGAAAATGCATTTATAATTAAAAATGGATTCAGGATTTAATGAATCGATTTCACTTCTGAAATCAATTTGAATTGGGAAAATCTATTTTTTTGGAACCACGTGAAAACCAGCGGCTGACTGGTTGAGGATGAAACTGGCTGTGATGATGCTGCACCAAAAACCTTTTTCTCACCTTCAAAATAAAAGTTTTCTTTGTGAAACATGTTGGTGGCAGCAGTAAGACAACTTTTACTTTGAAGGCCAACGTCCAGTTCATGTTTGCGCTGCACTTCCGGGTTCAGTGAGTTGCGAGTATTTGCAGACAAACTGGTGAATTTCATGCAGACTGTGGCGGGCCGGAGAAATCACAGGCAGGATGTTGGCGCAGAACCGTGTCCCTACTGTGTTTGACAGCCGGCTGGTGTCATGTGACCACGTTTACCATTTTCTGTACGGCTCAGGAGAGAAAAGGAAACCTACAGACAGCGACGATGTTTTGGGATTTAAAGGGTTAATGAACTCAGGTTAGGTGCCTAGAGAGCTGTGGTTAGGTCAGAGGTCGGCCACCTGCGGCTCTTCAGGCCCTCAGCTGTAGCTCCCACAGGCTTTGTGAACAAGGAAGAAGTGGGAATGTGATTTTGTTTCCCTCATATAGTTTTAAAAACGTTGTCATAAATGCACAGATTCGAGCTCACAGCTCCACACGGAGTTTAACTGAGAGGAAAACTGAATGTGAAATAGCTCACTCCCCTCTTATCACAATGATCACACACTGTCCTGACAAATGAGCAGCACTAACTGCTCTTTTATAGATTAGAAATTCAGCTTTCTGATTAAACTTATCGAGTTAAAGTAAAAATCTCATTTTAAAAGCAGCCAGTCCCATAAAAAGCTGTTTTCTGCAAACAGTGGAATATCCCCGCTGAAAATGTGGAAAATTTGGTTGCAGACAAGTCACAGGATTTACATTTGGGTAATGCATTAGCCTCATTCCCAGAGGTTTCTTTTTATAATGTGGAGGCTGAGCTGCAGCCTGCATGTGAACTGTGTTAATCAAAAACACATCTGACCCTCTCTCTCTCCTCTGACATCTGCTCGTTTTTTAATCCAACACTTGTATGTAACTCGTGCCTTCAGACACCAGCGCGTTCATTAAGCTGATCATGAAATGATATCGGCCGCGGAGAGCAGCGAGCAGATGGAAATATCGTTAATGTTTGCTCCTGAATGCTCGTTTGTTTTAGCAGCAGAGAAGAAAAAAGTCACATTAAGACTTTTTTATCAGCACGAGGAGACGGCGTCCGAAGGTCAGCCTGCTCAGTGTTTGGATTAAAAAGAGAAGGAGGCCGTGTTCCTGTGACAAGGTTACTAATGGATGTTGTTGAAGCATTTCCCAGATTACACGCAGGGACGTTCACTCTGCAGGAATTCTTCTCCGCAGGAGACGCTGATGGAGACCAAAGACGGAGATTAAAGGGCAATTATTAGAATATTTAATGAAGCCAATTTTACCTTCATACTTCAAATATTTGCAGTTACAGGCCCTCAACGTAAAGATGGTGAGGCAACATTTTAGTTTTTAATTCATATTTTCCAGCGATTCAGGATGTCTGTCCATGATTTTCAAATTAAAGCTCCTCCAGGACTGGGACGGACGGACGGAAGTCGACTATATCAGAAAGTTACAGCAGAGACTTCCATCACATCGGCGACTCAGCCATCGGTTTCCTATCCTCAGTTATGACCACGAGATCATGACCGAAAGAACGAAATTATGGATGCAAACAGTGGAAATGAGGTTTTCTTTGACGCGTTGCTGGGCGCCATAAGCTGGCGTCCACCTCCCGAGAGATGCAACTACACGTCGGGTTGACGCCGTCTGCAGCTGTTGTGACTGGCCTGTTCAGTGCCATCGATTCTTCCTGCGCACTTCCAGCTTTTTTCCACAGCAGAGTTTGAATTTATCCTTGAGAGCATAACAATCATCCCCTCAGTGTAAGGATTCAACAAGATGCATTTGATACCGGACGTGAGGGAACGTACGAAGACGTAGAAAAACGTCAGGGACGTAAGTTGGGTAGTTTGCGCTGCAGGCTCTGCAAAGACTCCCTGCTGAAGTCTGAGTCACATCGACATGAGCCACTCGAGCTGGTTCGGTATCTGACTGGGATGTCTCGTGGGCACGCTCTAGGGGAGCTATTCCAGGTGAACGACCCCGGACTCGATGGAGAGATTAGATCTGCTGTTCGGGTTGGAAACGACTCACATGAGCTGTAAGAGGTGACGAGTGTGAGGGAAATATTGATATCGATCCAGAGGGAATCAGGGCCAGAAGATGAGTCTGGTATAAAAATGTTGGTAAAAGGACGTTTTTCTGAGCAGTCACCTGTCACACAAAGTTTACCCAGAATGCACTTTTTGCATGTTCCCTTTGGTGAATTGTCAGAAATCAGATCAAACAAGCTTCTGTCTCTCTGCTGCACCGACTTCAACCTGCTGCTGTTTATTTGAAGCGTGACGCTGATCCTCAGACTTTGACTTGGATCAAAGTTGATTTGTTTGCAGTTTTTAGCTGAGCTTAAATGTGTTTTCAAACCTGACGTATACACGTGGATATCGCCTGCATTTGTCAAGTTATCAGGATTCAAACGTGAGGGAAAGTTTATACATAACGCTACTTTCACAGACAAGGCCACCGAGGAAAAACAGATAAAACAGTAAATCAGACACACGGACGCCACAAGGTCGGATGCATAGTTACCCAAAGGCTTCAGCACTCCCGTTTAGACCAGCTCTAAACCTCTGAATCCAAAACAAAGAATAACTGAGGAAAACTCATCCCAGAGTTTGTGAGCCACCACCTCGAGGGCCCGAAGTCCTCGTGTTTTAAAACTGAAGGGATCGATTGGACGAGTGAGTCAATAAAAGCTCTGAGATATACTCTGGTATACTCTTTACCCCCTGAAAGCCTACTAGGAGTAACCCTTTGTGAGCTGAGCAGCTTCTGACATATTTCAGGCTGCTAATAGAACCAAACGACTGGGTTTGCATCTCCGCCCAGGCAGCTACCCTTGGAAACACCTGGAAACTATTCTAATGGTCATCAAACCACGACTTCATGGATATATATGCACTGAGGGGTCAAAACTCGTCTTTATGCGGGAAAGAGCTGAACGTTAAAATTGACTCTGAAGCCAGCATGAAGCCAATGAAGAGGCTTTGAAACAGGAAAGATACAAGATCGGAAGCTGGCCGAGGCGGCGCTGTGGGGACACACCTGCACTTCACATAAATAAACTGACAGGGAGGTGACTCACCTCGCCGTGCTCCCTGGTCCGGCCCTTCGGTGTGTCCTCAGGCAGGAAGTAGAGTCTGGCACTGGCCAGCAGGTGGCGCCGGGTCTGGTCCTCCCACAGTAAGGTCACCTGATGCACACGAACGACGTTTATTTTTCAATCGTTCTGACTGATTTATTACATTTACAGCCTCCACACAGAAGCATCTGCCTAAAAACCACGACTGCCTTCGAGCCGAGTCGCTGATACCGAGGCCCTAAATATTAAACAGTCTGTCCACCATCAGCTTGATCAATTATCACAGCAGAGCCTTTGACTTTGAGCCTTTCACACCTCGACTGTGCACCTGCAGGAACGCTTTGTCCCGGCACAGGCGGCAGACAACATTACGCGAGCGTGCACGGAGCTGAAGCGCTCCACGCCGTGCAGAGTCACGCAGGGGGGAGCACACAAACACATGAGTTCAAGTGATTTTTGTTTTTTTTGGTGTCAGAAAAACAGAAAACATTTTTTAAGACCTGAACATAAAACTGCACACAGCCTTTTCTAGGAAAGCGAAACCAAAAATTCTTCACATTTTACGAATGACTTCATCACATTGAGACGAGCTGCTTCCTGGATCGAACCTGCAGCCTCCCTGTGGCCTGGCCCCGATTCCCATTTCCCCTCCCAGCATGCTGCTGGTGTGCAGCCAGCTCTGGGTTTGTGTCTCTGCAGAAGCTGCCCTCGTTTCAACAGGTTTCAGATTTACTGAGTTTTTGCTGAAATTATATAACATACTCACGCTTTTATTAACGAGCAATAATAAAATAAACAGTCTGATAATTTGCTTTGTCACATGTGGCGCTCAAAGTAAAGCTCTTCTCTAATACTTCTATTAGAAGCTGGCGGAGACCAAAAACAGAGGAAACGCTGACACTGGGCGAAGGTTCACCATGAAAAGCAGAAGACGAGTTTATTTTCTTTTAAGGTGTCGATTTGAAACCTGAGGCTTAAACCACAGAGAAAAATGCTAATGAGCATGTGCAGAAGCTATTAAAACTTTTGACTAAGCATCTCTCCTAACCATCAAAGCTGATTGGTTTAATGTGCTAACTTCACTTTGGATTAAGAGCGCAACAGAACGGAAAGTAAGCAGCAGGTTAAAATCACAAAAATGAGGAAATCCATTTAAAGCTCTGAGCTCCACTGTTCACGAGGGGCTGCCAATCATAAGTGACCTGGCTCAAAGGGGGAGGAGCTCAAACGGCTTGTTTCACGCTGGCAGCTTGCTGCCCACCTGCCTGTCGAGTGACCGATACGGCCTCAGTATGTAAAAAGCCTTCATTAGCTTCCATCAATACCATCAGCCTAAATACGAAGTAATCTCATTACACGAGTCCTCGCTGGCTCAGCCCACGACCTAAATTGACTAAATTTAGCCTCGCCGTGGGACTCAATAAAACATGACATTAGTCTCGATTAGCTCACGTAAGGCAGGAAGCAGGAAGCAGAGCAGGATGGCGACACATTTAAGGCTCGATCTGCAGCGTCGGCGCGGTTTACTCATCGTGGTCGGCCCGACTCAGTGATGTCACACACATGCATTATGGGAAGTGTAGGACCTCAGAGGTTTAATTGGTTCATCTCATCTACATTATTAGGGCGTGGGCACTCTGACCTGGCTGACGTTCTCATCTCAAACTAACATTAAGGAGCTGCAACATCATTTTCTGTGCTCACGTTAAGGACCGACGCTCAAAACACCAAGAAAGTCTAACTTTTCTTGTTTTTGTTCCAAAGCGAGTTTTAAAAAGCTTTTTTCTCCTCCTGTAAGTTCAACACAGAAACAGCTCAAATATTCCTGTTTCTGGCTGCTGATTGGCTCTCTGGGGAGCAACAGCGGGACAGCCGCCATCTGTAGCGTTTCCAGTTTTCCCACAGCCTTCATACCTGCCGTCCTTATATGAAGGCTTAGTGGCTGCGATGCTAAATGCTAACATTCATATTTATATAAACTGGCAGGTGCCTCAGAGATCCGTTCTGCTCAGGTCCAGCTCCTTATTTGTACTTTCAGACTGCAACAGGAAAGAGTTTTAGCTCCTCCCCTTGTTTAGAGTCTTCTTCTACCCCACGTAACTGCCTCTCAACGACCACCCTCAGGACACGGTCCCGTTTCCCTCCAGAAACCCAAACAGCGAGCTCAGGAGACATTTTCAGTCTGAAGCTTTCTCACCTCGGCGATGCACGCAGGATCCTGCGGTCCACAGCGGATGAAGTAAAACTCGCCGAGTTTCCACACCTGGACGGGCCCGTCGGGCTGAGCTTGGCTGCTAACCGACTTGTAGAAGGCGTAACTGCCTCGCTGGCAGGAGGGAGCACCCAACCACTGAGAGAGACAGAAAACAGAGTCACAGCCTGAACCTCAGCCCACAGGAGAGTTCTGCAGAAACACTCAGAGCTCACGAAAAATATCACAATCATTTAAATTCATGTAAAAGACACAACAATCGAATAACGGTCAAAGAAAAATCTGCACATTTTTGTTTTCACAGGTAAGAAGAGAAAAGGTGAGTCCACGTTTGAAAATGTAAAATGTGTTTATGAAAGAAAGAAGGATGAGAAAACACGATGATCCGGTTTCACTGTTTAGCATCGATCAGCCCATCAAACTTCAAACTGAAAATCTTTTGTGTAAAGTTGATCCCCGTCCTCTCAGGGACACTTCCTGTAACATCACACTGAAGTGCTTTAACAAAGAAGCCATTTAAATGCATCACAGGCTCCTTCATAAAAACCAAAACTTTATCAAATCAGCTGACTCCTCAGAATCAGCTGATTTTATCCCTGGACATTAACGTCACTATATTTCAGGAATTTCTACCTTTGCACAATAAAAGTTTTCAGAGTTACGGGAAGTTGAAGTGTTAGACGTTAACCACTGAAATTTCAGAGCTTAAAATCACATTTACACAAACTAAAGGTAAAATCTGAGCGTCAGCATCACAGGATCTGTCGGAGGAAGCAGTTTAATGTCCGTCTGAAATAAGCTTTGGTGTCCTGGATGTTTGAGCTGTTCAAGTGCATTCTGGGTAAACTCTAAAGGCTCATATGACCGTGTGGTTAGAAACCAGGCTCATCTTCCTACTGTGCAGCTGTCTCTGGTGGTCCTGCAGGTTAAACTGGGTCAAACAATCACAGAGGCTACAAACCAGCCCGACTGACACACTGCTGCTCTCCCGGCCCAAAAACCACAATCTTCAGACCTTATTCCTATTTTTTTAAAATAACTTCAGACCCATAAACACATCAAGGCTCTTTGAAGCCAATAAATGCTGCAACGATTCACAGACCTAATATTAGACTTGCCCGATACCTCAGTGATGGAGTCAAAGGAAATGCCTACACAGAGCTCAGAGTCCTCCCCACATTTTCAAGGGTTTGTTTGAGCCATAAACTCTGCACACCTCTGACATCGACACTGATGATGGACCCGTGCCATCTTTTCCCGCGTGGAAACGCCACTCAGAGACGACACTGTCAACACCTTAAACACCTCTGAGTGACGGAAACGTTCAAAGTTTGATTTAAAATGCCAGAAACTCGCTGACACATTAAAAACACACAAACAGCGGCTGGAGCGGCGTTTTCCTGCGGGTTTACTTTCTCTTTCACCTGCGGCAGCACGAAGGACACACGTTTAGGAGAAAGCCACCATAAACTCATCTGCTGTAGTTAATCATTCAGCCTCTGTAATGCGGAGCCTGCTGCGTTACTCCAAACGGTTCCCGCGAGCGGCTGCAGCCATGTGACCAAGTCGTACTCAAAGGTGTGAATCTGACTGGAGCCAAAATAAAAACTCTGAGCTCAACAACTTTCATTACGTCGAGTTTCTGACATCATCACCTGTAGACATGTTAAAGTTGATCTGCTCTAACACGAGATGCTTTGCATGAGCCAGTTTGAAATAATCCTCCTTTGTCTTATTGTACTGTCCTGAAAGAAGCCACTTAAGCTTCTGCTTCTCTTTTAACTTTCCTGTTGTGTTCGGGTCAAATCTTACTGGCTCCCCCTCGTAAAAAAGGAGGGGGCGGGGCCAGAGAACTTCTAAATACTTACAAACACCTAATCTCTGCACTTCCTGTTTTGAAAACTTTGAAAACAGAAAGAACAAGGGCTGAGTTTCTAGCATTTTTTTTAGCTCTGTGTGATGTCACAGAGACAGGAAACCCCTCATTCGGTCGTGTCAGGATCTCAGCTGTAGAACATCAAAGTCAATTCTGTGATAAACTTTTTTATTCTGCAAATCTTTGTGGTTTAAGTGTCTGAGAAAATAGATCAAGTTAAATAAATAAATATATTCTAGATTTTAGGCAAGTGTCCTTGGAAAATACAGGATGTCACAGCAGCCGCCATTTTGATTTGGGGCAGGAAGCCAGCAGCTGTGGAGGATTTCAGTTACCTTCAACCAACAAAACCAGCACGCTGAACTTTCTGTTGGGCTTTAACTGCACACACAGTCATCCTTTGTAAAGAAGCGCCGCTCACCAATGTAAATCTTTACCTGACCAATCAGCACGCGTTAGCACTGGTGACAGGACAGAAGTGCAGACTTTTCCCAGTTCAGACACGTTATCAGTTATATGATATTTATATGGTAAACGGCCTGTATTTGAATAGCGCTTTACTAGTTCCTAAGGACCTCAAAGGGCTTTACACATCCAGTCATCCACCCATCCACACACACATCCACACACACATCCACACACACATCCACACACACATCCACACACCCATCCACACACCCATCCACACACACATCCACACACACATCCACACACTGCTGATGGCAGCTACGTTGTAGCCACAGCCGCCCTGGTGCCACCGGCCCGTATATGATATAAAAACTGTTTAAACCATGAAATTTACAGCAGATTGTGGACTCCCCCGTGACACAGGAAGTCCAGACACTCCTTAAACTTTCAGTGGGTAAAGTTTGAACGTTTACCTCAGCTGACAATGCTGGGTGAGAAGCGCCCGGCCAACACCGTCAGTCTGACAGGAGTCACGTGATTCAGACAAACTCATTTCTGATGACGCGTCGCTGAGTTTTTGAGGACAGGCTGAACTGTTGGTAAGCGCTGCCATTTCTGCAGCAGTTAGCTGCTGTCAGCCTCTGTCTCCACTCAGACCGAGCTAGTCAGGAAAGAGATGCTCTTCACAGCCGCTGCGTTCAAATATGGTGGGACAACATGGCGGCTTCCACAATCCACAAACCCGCTTTAAGTTTATGACAATGCATCAGTTTGCTCAAACATGTATTACATGCAACTACATGATTTATGAGTTAAATACTTATTTTTTATCTATTAAATAACCTAAAAAATTACTGATTGCACCTTTAAACTCTTTCAGGGTGGTGGGAGGGGTGGAGCTAATCTAAACCATCACGTGGCGAGAGGCGGAGTTCACCGCGTACAACAGCCGGAGATGAACACCTTTGGGAAATCCCCTCATCTCTGTAAAAATCACACAGTTCGGAGCCGAGTGTTTGGCTCACGGGGATTAAACGTTCACACGCTGACCTCATTATCTGAAACTATAACCATGTTTAATTTTAACATCCACCATTGTTAACGTCTAAACAGACAGATGGAAAACCCGAGAACGCCACGCCTGCAGTCCTGGCACAATTCATCCTGGATGAGCTGGAAGTTTTTAGAGCCGTCTGATAAGGAATTACAATAGTCCGGCCCTGAAATAACAAATGCACGACTATGTTTCCTGTCTGAGACAGGATGTTTCTAATTTAGGCAAAGAAAGCTGAAAACTCTGCACATGAAGTCTCTGATTAGTACGAGAGATTTTCTCCAGGACATCATGACCACGTCTCCTCATTTCTCTTGCCAACCTTCCATGTCTCACTGAATCTTTAATGTCATTAAATATACATAACGTGATCTAAATGAAGCAGAAACCACCTTCTGTTACAGTACAGTAAAGAATCGCACCATTAGCTGCTTAATGTACATTAATAAGCTGTTAATAAGCATTTAATATACGTCTTACCGCCCACTTAGCCGACCCCTCACTGTTCGTGGGTGTTTACACGACGGGAACAATAAATCGAGCACACCTGGAGCACGTTCATGCGTCTGAAAGCCAACACTGTCCCCGCCGCCGGGCGAAGAATCCCACAGCTTTGATTTCACCGTTTTTGTTTTTGTGTGAGAGACCCAGAGCTGAAACGACAAAACCCAAACACGCCTCGGAAACCGAAGGAGGCAACTCCACCGGATCTGTGCCCGTCAGGAGGGCCCTGCGCTGCCATTTTGGATCCTGGGCCACAGCTTCAGTCAGCAGACTGTGTGATTATTCCACACGATAAACCCACAGGAAAAGGAAACGTGCACCAACAACCTCGACTCAATTCAGAACATAAATATTCATATGAAAAAACATGTTTCCAATCGGCTTTTTGGCTTAAAGTTGCTTCAGAGTGCCTCATTCAAAGACGTGTTAGCGCGTTGGACAAAGGAAACTCCGGCTCACACGCTTCTGATCAAAGTTTCAGTTCAGGTTTTAGCTTCAGGTCACGTTATTTTTATTAAGATCACAGAGACGTTTTGCAGAAGTGGGCTTCTGATGTAACCACAACTACGTATACTATATACAAACTATTACTTTCTCCACTGACAAAGTCATCGTTATAAAAACTGTCAAACAAATCTAAATGCTTGACACGAGCCTATAACAGATACATAGTGTTGATATGTCAGATGTTTAATGAATCCATTCTAAAAATAAATATTTTATTCTGTTACAGGTCACAATGTAGAAAAGAATAGTTGGTGTAAACTTTTCTTTGTCCAACAGAGTGAAGCTGCAATTTACAGATGTCCCCTAAACACATCAAAATAAACCTGTTTTCAACACTTTTCATTGTTTTTCTGTGTTTTTGATAGAAACTGTTTAAAGTTTAAATGAAAATCTTTATTGTTTTTAGCTCACATTAGCGACATCACAGCACCTTAACCCGCTTTACTGCAGCCGCCATTTTGGTTTAACGCGTGAAGCGAGCAGAAGCGGAGAACCTCTGTGACCTTCAACCATCCCAAATCTGCCTCGTCCACACACCTGGATGCTTCTGTTAGGTTTTGCTATGCCTATAACATCTATTTATCATCGAGCGAGGGTGTGCTGTGGTAAATCCTTAACCGACCAATCAGCACGCATTAGCAGACGGCTAGTGTTTGATGGGCAAAAAGCTTCACGGTGAGAAAAAGGATGCGAGTGCTTCTTTAAACTGCACATTTTGTGTAGAAGTGAGCGGTTATCATTATTATTTTAACTGCTGAGCTCCTTTCACTGCTGTTTACTGAGGCCTCA